TTCTTATCCAGGAATAAGGCTGGTTAATATTGCTTCGTACTTAAAGGTACAGTATAAGGTTCAGTATTCAAGTGTACATTTCAATGAATCTTTCGATGAATATATGGTAAGATGAAAGTTTCAAAATCGACTATTCATAGCATATCTGATAGAATTTCGAAAACATATCACAAGTTTTCCTGCGAATCTTGCAAAAATATTTGTTTGATCATTACTTGCACAATTTGGTTTTCGCAATAAGGGAATTGTAAAATAATAATGTTGCATTTTACAGATTTGAACAATCATGACCTCTTAAAAAAACGTTGGTACATTGATAAACTTTCATGTTACTACTCGTTGAAAGTGAATAGAATGTTTTAATTTATTCGGTAGTTATTTTTATCATGAATCTATCAATGAAACAGTGCTCCCAGTATAATATTCTAATTCAGCTACATACTTGAACATTTTGGAAGGTAAGGTCTTCCAATATTTTTTGGAGCAATTATTTTTTTTGGAAAGCGTAATATTTTCATCAGTAACAATGAAAAATATGCATAATTTTGATTACCCTGTTTTGTATAATGCAGCACTCTCATGAGATTTTCCGTTCTAAAATTGCTGTATATCGTACTTCATAGCTACAAACGGCATTCACTTTTTGAGTTCAACGTTTCAGATGAGTCAAGTCTCTTCAGTGCGCTGAAAAGCACACAATAATCATAGATGAATGATCACAATATATCGCATTCATGATCAAATATAAACTTTGTAATTTATTAAAAACACTTTCTCCATACCAGAACAAAATATTTTCTGTCTACAGTTTCTTTTTATGTCAGAATTCTGAACGATGGAAAATCAAATTCCTTAGCTAAATGGTAGTTGTTAATCAACACCCGTAACTACTCACCGAACTTCTCCAACTGAAGTTAAAACCATGGATGTGCCCACGATATTCAACAACAATTCTATTTTCTGGCCAGTTGGTTTCTATTGTGCACTCATTATATTTCCAAAGTCACCAATCTTCACTGAAAAAATAGAGAATGACATTTCTTACAGTGTTTGTATGATACTGCCCACTGGAATTCGTGGAAGCATATTACAATGGATCCGTTCATTTCTAGAAGGTCATAAGCTAATAGTGAAAATTAGGAAACAAACTTCTGATGATTACTTAATCGACACTGGTATTCCCCAGGGGAGCGTTCTCGGCCCCTTAATTTTCTTATTGTTTATCAATGACCTTCCTGATTACATAAATGACGGAGAGGTTTATATGTTTGCAGACGATAATAGTATCCAGCCTAGATAGCCAGCCAGAGATCCAAAACAGGAAAGCTTTCCACAGAACAACTAAACATTAATAATCAGACAATAATATTTCAAGAAAGTTGCAAATTTCTAGGTGCAATTGTTGATAGCAATCTCAGATGGAAGATATGCATCACTATGATCTGCTCCAAATTGAATGAACACTTCTTCGCAATGAAAAATCTGATAAGTTGCCTTGATGCGGAGGGTATAATTTCTGTGTACTAACTATGTATTGGTTTACTCGACCATAAGTTATAACATTGTAGCTTATGGTTTGGCCACTGATAGTACCAGAGTCTTTTTAGCACAAATAAGGATAATTCGCCTGATGTTCCATTTGGATTATCGAGAATCTTGCAGAATTATCTTCAAAGAGAAAAAACTTCTAACTTTCACGAGTATTTATTTATACAAACTTCTGATTCACACCTATATTCCCAAAAATAGTCTCATGCAAAATTCAAAATTTCACAACTACCAAGCTAGCAAAAAAACGAATTAAGACTAGAACTAGCCACATACAACAATTACAAAAATCCCCAAAATATACAGGAGCGAATTTCTACAATTTATTACCCCATGGATTGAAAAACCAGTCGAACCTGTTCAGATTCAAGCCTAATTTGAAATATTTTCTGCTCCTAAATGCATTCTATGATATAAAAGAATTCATAATGTGGTGTCAGACTCCTATTGACGATTAAAATTCTGTTGGATAGTTTCATATAAGTATTCATATTTTTTACGGACATTTTGACTTGCCAATCCAATGTTTAATTGGTGTCTGACTAATAAACTTCTATTTATCTATATTTCTGTCAGTTATAACAATGTCTGTGTCTTTACTATATATCGCAGAAAGTCATTTTGTCCATTACTGATGAGGAGTTTAGTGATTTTTGTAATAATCATCATCAAGATTTATTTGTTTCAAGCAAAACAAAGCAATTTCAGTTTCTCTTCGTCCCATAATTGGCGTTTTGATTCAATGGTCTTTGAAATCTCCGGCAATATGGATACTGATAGAAGACTATAGAGGACCAGAGTAGACTCTTCTTTATTTGAAAAGGGACTATTGGAGATCATCCGAAAAATCAGATATGATTGCAACATTAAATGATGAATTCATTAATGTTATTGAATCCTGCGGCAACTTGATGAATATTAAATCACTAAATGTAAACAGCGACGTGAATGGCGTCTTGTAGATACCTTACAAATATGGATAGTCGGATAGTCTTTCATTATTGTACTTTCAAATCGGCAAGTATAAGAAGATTAACCCCTACTCATGATCGAAGGGTCGAGATTTCCATCCCAACTGATTGAATTTGGGATGCTTCTGCAACGTTACATGGCTGTCGGAACAGCCATGATGCTCCCTAGGTGGCTCGGAGAGTTATTAATATCGCCTACCTAGAATACGAACACAAAGGAGTCGATCTTGTTGAAATCTGAGAAAAAGGAAGAAGTATAACTCGCCATTACGGAAAATACCCAAAGTTTGCAGTAATGGAGCATAAACTTGAAGAAGGAAATAAATACAGCAGCGGATCACTGTGCGGAAGTTCAAAAAAGTCACATATACAGGGTGTCAATTTGAAAACGTACCATCCTCTATATTTCGGCCCCTATATAAAATATAAAAGTAAGTCAGAGTTATTTTCAAGGGGTACATTTTGTAGGCTAGTTATCAATTAACACCCCTGAAATCTAAAATGAAAAGGGAGGTTGAGTGATACCTCATTTTGAAGGTTGTTCAGATACTTTTCCAAAAATACCATATATTTGACCTCTCTTTTCAGTACTTTTGCACATATCGGGTGAAATCGTAAACATATTGTAATGAAACTATCAGAAAGTAATACACCTTATTTAGTGATCGAAACATTGTCCATTTTTTTAACAATGATAAAGTCTGCCCAGAAAGTCGTCTCTAACATTCCGAAAATCTTCTGCCTGAAGTTCTCTATACGCAGCTGTTATTCTTCTCTTTGAATTTTCCAAATCTCGAGGCTGTGTTTTATAAACAATCGATTTCAATCTTGCTAAAGGCGATGAGTCGGGTGATCGTGGTGGCCAGTCTATTGCTCCTCTTCGACCAATCCGTTTATAAGAAAATCTAGCATCTAGCAACTATCTAACTGGAAAAGAATATGGTGGAGCTCCATGTTGTTGAATGTGAATAAGATCGTCTTGCAAAATTATGTTACCAGCAGCATCAATTAAATTTTCTAAACTAGTTTTATTGAGGAATTTATCATTTCTTCGAGTAGATTTGAATGAAGCTCAGCAGGTAAATTTTTCCCAATGATTTAAGGTCCAATAGTTCAGTTCACTTTCTGTGGATTCTGTGTGTACTTTCCCTGAAAAGTTGCGAACTTTCATCTATTCAGTAGCAGCCATTTTGAGAAAAGTGAAAACTCGTCAGTGAAGGAAATATTGTGCAAAATATTTTGGTGAGCTAAGTGATGTGGAGGGTTCTGCAGTAAAAGTGCCTAAAACTTGTGTTGCTTATTCCCAAACACGTAAATTATTTCTTATTTCTCAGCAACTATCAGCAACTAATTCCAGGACATATTCATGATTCAAATCATCATCTTCATCTTTTTAAATAAGCTAATAAACGCACAATCTCCGATTCGCAATACTAATTAATTTTGGTAACCAGAAATAGTTTCGGTAATGATGAATGGAGAATAATTCAACAGAAAATTCAAGAATGCTTCACCTGGATCTTTTTTTACGGTATGTGTATTGTGTTCAACTTGTGAGATTTAGAAAAATGAGCAGAACTACAAAGTTAGATATTGGCATTCATTTTCTTAAATATTACTGGAGTTTTTTCCCAACACCAAACCGTTATTTAATACAAAAACATATAAATAATATACTTTCTTAAATTGACACACAGGTTAATGCACAGTTACTCATTTAGTCATCCCAGTGTAGAAATTAGAAATATGCGGAAACCTTCATCTTGGACGTTGATTTGTAAGTGCAAGATATTATGTTGAAGCGTTCCGGCCGTGCTTCATTATTTTCGACTCACTAGTTCCTCCTTGTTGAGTTTCTTCTTATATTCAACACTCTCTGGATTTTAAGATGTAGTTAATATTTGAGCCTTGTTTTAGTACGCCCTTAGCTAATCTAAGGAAATTAGGAAACAACTCACCAATGATATGAGTTCAACAACGTAGTACATCACAGCTGTTTCTGTGAAGCGAATTCGAAAACACTAGAACACGATGTTCATTTGTAATTAGTTATCGAAAGAAATCACCACATTTCGAAAAGCGAAACACATATAAGTTAATTAAAAGCTATAGATGCATAGATAGACAGTGGTAATACAGATATTATGTTACAGCAGTGCTGTAAAATAGTTGAATATGGTGAATAGAAGAGCAAAAAACAATGATGATATGGCGAATTGGTTGCGCTTGGGTAGGACACATCTGCCCCAATGAAAACAACCATACCAGCAGCGACAAGACCTTCACAAGGTAAAAACTGAAGCCTTCAACTTTGACGTACCAGACATCGTCGTCAATTCAATAGTAGAATAGAAAAGAGAAGAACAACTGCACATACGAAAGTGTTGGTACTGCGAGGCCAAACAATGAAAATATTGCACAATATTCCGAAGAGAAGCCAAAAAGTTCATCAAAGGATTTTAGGAACTTTAGAAATGCGATATGGACAATAACATTATCAGAGCCAACTTCTGGGCTGATATCAACAACCACAGGGGTCCTTGCAGGAGTATGAGGTATATATTGAGAGGCTTACCAATTTGGCTCATTCCCTAACTCCATAAATCGAAGGATTATTGGACATCAAGATGCAGCAAGTGTTGAGGCTAGGTAGATACCTGAAAATACTTTTCCTGAAAGTTAAACGTAGAAAAAAAAGTCAGCAAGCTCATACAAATCATCAATAAAAAAGAAGAGCTGAAGTACCTGCAGTTGGAATTTTGAAATGACCATGGTTTCATGGAAAGTCACCAACATTAGAAAGGAATGAAAGGTCGTTAATGTCCGAGAAATGTCAAATGGTTATCCCATTTCAGAGCATTTTCTCTGAGAGGAAACAAGTTATCGAAGGTAAGGAACATTCATTTTGCAATATGCATCTCTGAATTATTATTTGAATAATACTGAATTTTAAGTAGCGACCTGAAGATGATACTTCGTGTCAAGCCTGTTCATGTAGTTCACGAAGTTGAAAGTCATCAGTATTGTTACTTTCGAGGCGCGTTAAAATAGTATATTCATTGCATTTTTCCAGTACTAGAATAACTCAATATACAGTTAGAAGTCTAAATCTTGACAAAGCTATGTACTTCATTGGTGGAAAAGAAAAACATCATCATAACTTTCATTTCATGGAAATCCTCACCATATCCTCAAATATTTGGAAGAGTTCCAAATCTTGAGCAATCATCAATATGGCTTTCGGAAACAAAGATCAAAAGGCGATCTTGTATCGGAATATTTGGAATAACGCAATCGAGAAACATGGAGAATCAAAAGCAGTTGCGCTTGATATTTCTAAGGCCTTTGACCGTGTGTGGCATGAGGGTTTGCTGGCCAAACTTTGATGCTATAGCTTGTCGGATCATTTCTGTGTATGGCTCTTTAGCTTCCTGCGAGTGGCCGTCGATGGATATCTTTGGAATATTTTCACCATAAACGCTGGTGTTCCCCAGGGATCCATATTGTCTCTAACCCTCTTTTTAGTGCATATCAACAACTTATTCGAAAAAACTAAGAATCCAATATATTGCTTTGCTGGCGACAGTACACTTGTCTCGTCATTCCATTTGGATTCCAGGACATCGGCTACGGAGGCACATCTTCACCGGCAGTAGGAGGTTGCATATCTTGAAGAGTATCTAACCAGGTTCAATTCAATGTCACAAAAACCCAGGTATCGGGTTTCTTCAAGAAGATAAATGTCTTCGAATCGGATATAATAATGTGAGCTCAGACAATTCCAATATATCTCTGTACAATCACGTCGCTGGAATTGCAAAGGCTGCTTCTCAGAAGCTTGGAACACTGTTCCGAATCAGAAAACTGTACACACCCCAGCAACTTTTGATACTTCATTAAGCTCAGATCAGACCTTTGGAGTATTTTTCTCATATATGGAGCTCTGCCCCCAAACATGCCCTGAAGTTGCTGAATTCCATCCAGAAAAGAGCCATCCGCTTGATTGGAAACGCGAACATCACGTGCGACTTCAATCTGTTCTGTTTAAAAAAAACCTTGTTTTTCCGTCAATCAGCTGTCGCTCCCATACGAACGACAACTCTCAGAAGTTGAGAAACTTGTGTGAGCTAAGGACTAACGAGGTCTTACCTTTCAACGTGTGATTCCTAATACGGGTTGATAGCCTGAAACATCGAAGAAAGGTTGGAGTTTGGTCTCTGTTCTATAGATACTTTCACGGGAGGTGTTCAAGTAACTTGGCACATTTGATTCCACGAAGAGCGGTAGATGTCAGAAATACTCGACAAACTGTATTTGCTCATCGTTTTATGGTTCAACTCAGTACACCTCGAACTCCACTGTTTAAGAACACTCATCTGGAGAACTGTTTTCATATGGAATAAACTTCCTGTGGACGTTTTTCCAAATGGATTCATTCTCTAGCGATTAAAATCCAATGTGAATCGCTACTTTCACACAGCCCCACTCTGAGAGCGCCTTAAAGATGTTCCTTTAGTGCTTATGTTTTGTCCTTAAAAAATATGATTACTAGTATTCATTTTTCAGCATTCCATAACTTTAAAAAGTGGGTAATTTAAAATTTAAATTCAGTTGAAATGTTTTCACTTCATCAATATTGCCTGAGAAAGGTCAATTTTGACATGCAAAAATGAACAACTTCCTCCGCTTATACTTATTCCATTCATTTTCTAGATACCTTCATTTGCATTTGATAATGCACTGATGAAAAATAGACACATGCCTGATGGACTAAGGCTTTATCTTGGCGGAAATCCCTGGAGATGTGACTGCTTATTCATTCCCAGTTTTCAGGTAATGTGTTTTCCGTAGCTTATTTTCTGGTTGAACTCAGTCGTAGCTGAACTTCTCCAAGAAATATTTAAAAAAATCGATCGGGACACAAAATAGTTTTCAAAATTGATCGGCACACAAGTATTTGAATTTTTGGTTGTGATCAATGATAATTTAATTGGGAAATCGGCGAAGGAATTATGATACTCTTTGATCACAATATTTTTTTATGAAGACAAGAGAATTGAAACTTTCTTTGTTTTTCACCACTTTTATTTGTAACTAACGTTACTGCAGTTTCGTCCTATAAGGACATTTTCAAACTTTTACATTAAACTAAAAATGGTTGATTACATTAGCGCTTATATAACATCACTGTAGGTAATAATAGAGGTACTTAGCTTGATTGAGTATCTGAATTTTGTTTACTA